CGATTTTATCCGGGACTCCCTTGGGTCTCAGGGCGCCCCACAGATTCTCGTGATTGAGACGGTCGAAAGCTTTTTCGTAGTCAATGAATACCAAATAAAGGGACTCTTGGAATTCATTGATCTGCTCCAGAATGATGCGGAGCGTGACAATATGGTCCACACAAGATCTTCCGGCACGGAATCCTGCCTGCTGCCGTTGGAGAGTCGCGTCGATCTTCTCCTGTATCCGATTCAGGATAACTTTGCACAGAACTTTGAGAACAATACACAGTAACATGATGCCTCGCCAATTGTCACACACAGTCAGATCCCCCTTCTTTGGGACCTTCACTAAGATGCCCTGCATCCAGTCGGCCGGAAAAGTCGCGGTGTCCCAGATATTACAGAATAGTTGATGCAACATTTGTGCGGATAGCATGGGGTCCGCTTTGAGCATCTCTGCTGATATGCGATCGAACCCTGGAGCCTTTTGTGCTTCGGATGGCTGCTTCAATCTCCTGCAGTGATGGGGCCTTGGAATTGACGCGAGTGATGCGCCGCACCCTAGGCGGATCATGCCGAGATGTTGATGGCTGGTTGGCCGTTGAAACTTGAAGAAGTTGTTCGAAGTGCTCAAACCAGCATTTCAGCTGGTCAGTGGGGTCGGTAAGCAATTGTCCAGTCGTGTTCTTCACTGGCATCCTCGGGTTCATCATTGCTCCACTCAGGCGTCGTGAGATATCGCGCTCGCTTGTCCCGTCTGCAAGAGCGCTTGACTTCCTTCTCTAGAACCGAGTACCGTTGACGGACTTCGTTCTTGGCTCCTCTGGTTCTCGCCCGCTCTATCGCGACTTTTGCTTCTCTACGCTCCTCAATCTTCCGTCAGGTTTCATCTGTGATCCTCCTCTGGGTGCGCAGCTCACCCAAGTTGTTCTCGCTTATTTCTATAAAGGCATTCTTGATGGCCGTCCATTGTTCTTCTACGCTACCACCTTCTGGAACGTCCGCAGCTCGAGTCTCAAGTTCTTCAACAAAAGATCTTTTTACCGCTGGATCTTCAAGTCGGCGTCCCGTCGCTGGATCCGCGCCATGTGTAGGCGGATTTCGCCGATTAGAAGGTGATGGTCTGACGCGATGTCGGCCCTTCGTTTATTCCGGACATCAAGAAGGCTCCGTCTCCATTTTCGGCTGATGCAGATGTGGTCGATCTGATTTTCGGTATGTCCATCACGGGAAACCCACGTGACTTTGTGCACTGGCCGATGGGGGAAGAGCGAGCTCGCGATCACCATTTCGTTATTGCCACAAAATTCTGCAAACAGCTCACCGTTCTCGCTCATTTCGCCGAGACCATGGCGTCTCATAGTCCGTGTTGTCGGAGCCGATCTTCGCATTGAAGTCGCCAGTGTAGATCTTGATGTCACCCTTTGGAACCTTATCCACGACGGCATTCAGTTGACTGTAAAAATTCTCCTTGTCCTGTAGCTCGGCAGCATCGGTTGGCGCATAACATTGGATTATGGTAAGGTTACGAACCCGTGTTCTAAATCTGGCAACGATTATCCTCTTATTAACAGGCTCCCAGTCTTTTGTGATCATATGACTCTTGGAGGCGTGAGGTAGGAACTTGTGAGGACCGGAGCTAGGTATATCGCTCCTTCCAGATTGTCACTCACCATTTTGTAGCCCGTTTTTTGCATTAAATTGCTTAAATCTTCCTCTACATTTGAGATTTTTTTCATTGGTGTGTGACCTCTGTGGCTCCTTGGGGTCACATCGGAAGAAGGTCGCCTCCGGTGGGGATTGGTAATTGGCAGGCGTTCTAGAGATCTGAAAAATGGACAAAACTTACTTTTATCAATTGGACCTTATTCAATAAAGATTTTTGTTCTATGCAAACCTCTAAAACCGAAAAAAAAGAGCAAAAAAAAACGATTTAAAAATTTAGAAAAAAATATCTGAAAAAAAAGTTAATTGTTCACTGTTGTTTTTCCACTTTAGGCAGACCTGAAAATTATTTATTGTTAATTTTTTTCATGATATCAGTGGTTCACATAGAGTAAAAATCTATTTGGAAAACACCGTTTCGAGAAAAACGCATTTAAAGTTTTGGGTTGTGTAAAAACATGATTTCTGGAACTTACGGTTAATCGGCGATACCGGGGCCATAGATCACTCCTTCCTCGCGCTCGTAGATTTTTTTTAAAAAATATTAAAGTAAAATATAAAAAATCGATAAAAAATTTTTTTTTACTTGTATTTCCCCCCTTAAAACTAGTCCCGGAATTTGATACTGAGGTTTCTTTAAACTTTCCTCTCAAGTTTCAAGCATCTCTCCGTGGAAGCTTGTTCCAGTTTTATTAGAATGTTGTTATGACTTCCACCGGAAGATTCCTGCAACTTCTCCTGGAAGTTTATTCCGTTTTTTTTTTTTTTAGATTTGCTCTGAAAGATTCTTCTGACTGACACCGGACAGTTCTAACGATTTCTGCTGGAAGCTCCTTCCGATTTTCTCCAGAGGTCCTGCAGACTTGCCCCAGAAGTATCTGCCATTTTCCCGGAAAAATGTATATTTTACAGAGTTGGTTGGAAATGCTAACATGAAGCTTTAGTGTGATGATTTATTAGCTAGAGAATGATCTTTAGAAGAATGTAGGTGGATAGTTCCGTTAGAGTACGGCACTATCCACCTACATTCTTCTAAAGATCATTCTCTAGCTAATAAATCATCACACTAAAGCTTCATGTTAGCATTTCCAACCAACTCTGAAAATCGTTAACTTCGCGTATGAAGTAACATAAAAAACACTTTGAATGTATATTTTACAATTCTATAGGGAATCGTGATTTTTTGTGAAATTAGCGGATTTTTATTCCCAGGATGTCACTGGCATTTAACAAAAAAAAAAAAAACTAAATTTTTCTAAACCACGTCATTTTTACGTTGCCAGTCTCCTTGATATGTTGTCTTCAATTAAATTAACACCATTCAAGTTTGAAGTCCGGCTTGGGAGAAAAACATCGACAAATAAATTGTAGTAGGGGAAATGACGGCTTCGGCATGCCAGACTATTTTCGGCAACCCAAATTGAAACACTATTTTCACTGGATTTTCTTACGAAAACACTTCGCTGAATGCATGCAAACGATTCTTTATGCTTTCAGCTTCAATTTACTATATTTTTACCACTGAGAAAAAGCAATCTAGCAAGGTTTTCTTGAAATGAAACACACGCACTACAAATTGTAGCTGATTTCGAGTTGCCGATAATAGAACAGCAGATTTACATGCAGTTCAAATGGAACGGTTGCCGAAGAAAAACTGGTTGCCGATAATACTCGCTCTCACTAGAGAAGATTGGAGCTTTGTAAAAGCGTTTCAAAACAGTTTTTGACAATTCTTTCGACTGAAATTGTTAGAGCAGCTGGCAGCAAAAGATTGTAAACAAACCAATACTGCATATGTGTGCGTTCCTTAGAGAAAAAGGCTATAGAAAGAAGGTCGCTGCTTAGGCTGCCGAGAATACGTAAATTCCCCTATTTTATTTTGCAATGAAATGGGAGTATGCAATACATTTTTGTTTGGTGAGCTTCTCATATTATATATTTATCTACCGTAAAGTCGATCCATAACAACAACCTCACGGTATGGTTGGTTTCAGCTTTCGTTGTGTGACTTAACACATATTATAAGTGTATGTGCTTCTAGAAAGCAAGCTCCACGATTTGAACAACCAGCCGTTACGATACGAACTTCACCGTCCGAAAAGGTATTCAATTACCACATTAATCGACCTTAATGACGGTGTTGCATTACCTGTTGCTTCTACTCGGCAGCACACTACCCCTAGCAAATGCACGCGAGCCAACTTCCCTTTGGGTGGCATTGAAGGAACTAGTTGAACGTTTAGCGCTTGAAAATAAGCGTGAATTTTGAATATTAGAAAATTACTCAGTCATCGGCAGCTGGCTAACAACTGCATATTAATCAGATCTAGACTTGGTTTCAGAGTGTTCACTCGGCTGTCGACAAAAGCAGGCCACTCTCGATGTGTGCTACGCGATCGTCTGTTTACTCGGCAGCAACCATTGTGTGGTCCTCCTCATTGTTCTTCATCAGCAGTTCTTTCGGTCGATGCGTTGTCGACTTTGGAAAGCAACCGTTTCGTGATGAGTGTGTGAGTGCTGACCACGTTTTGCATCCATTGCTGCAATGGACGCGCTCTGACCCTCGTTGGCGTACAACAATTTGCCATACAATGAAACTACTGGAAGCGGCTCCAGTTCTGATGGAGGAGGCTTTTTGGATAGCGGAAGATAAAGTGTTTATTGTGTTGTACCTTTTGACTATAGCTTTAAGATGTATTGTATAGTGACCATGAATCCTCGGCTCTGTTAAGTTAATTCGGTTGAGCCTTATCAAATAAATTAATATACAAAAAAAAAAAAAGACTTGGTTTCAAAGCTGACCGTGAACTTGACCATCAGTGCCGTCAGTTATTCAGTGCACCTTTGCGATTTGACCTTTGGTTGAACTCTATCGGTATTAGTAGTTGTCTACGTCATATTCCATCGGTAATCCTCGGCGAGTGAAAGCGAGTAATTTTTCCATTCATTGTGGCACCTCCCACGGAGAAAAGATGGTTTAAATTTAGAACCATCCCCAATGATGCGCCGCTTTAGTCGACCTACCGCCAACAACATGCCGATTGCGTTGCTGCCTGGCACTTGTTTGGAGAAGGTAAACATCACTCCCATAGTAGTCTCAGTCCCGTGGAGGTCGTTGTATGTCGTGTCGATGAAATGGAGACGACGAACACACAGGGTGCTGACTTTGATTAAGACATAATTTGTCATTTTAGGAAAAGCTACTGCTGGGTTAATCTTTATTGATGGGGTTCGAGATACAATTTTGATGGGGTTTTTCCTCTGGTTGGCTATGGGAAGATTGATTTAAAAAAAATGATTTCTGCTAGATGTTTCGATGCCATTTAATACTGTGTCCTGTTGTATCATTTCAGATGGAAGAATTGGGTGATAAGAGGCATCTTCACATTTATCATGATCAGTGGATTTTGTCTTATCATCTACGGTGGTCCACTGGCGCTAATGATTACGGTAAGTACGTAGGCAGCACAGCTTTTCGATAGAAAACTCAATTAAATAAGTCCTTCAAACGAAAAATACGCAAGTCACTGTACGTTACGTTAGGTGGGACAATCGTTCTATGTGATGCTTTTTAGAACCTGTTTAAAATAGGAATAGATTGTCGATTGATTGGTTTTGTTGTGAGTGGCTGATGTGTGTGTGTTTGTTTTTTTTTTATAGTTAGGAGAAGCCTTCAGCTGACCTGTTCCCTCTCCCCTCAGCGAAAAGTTGGAACCTAGTATTTTCGGCCCACTAGGCACTTGTTGCCGTCTGAAGTTTTCTTCCGAATGTTTTTGGGTATTTTCCAGCAACAACCAGTATGATGTCGTCCGCATATACAAAAATGAAAACACGGCTTCATAGCCGCTAAGAATAGTGTAACTGCCAGAACGGAGACTTGTGGCACATCCGTTTCCTCAGGAACTGTTTTACTTTTCGTGTTTCCTATGGCCACCTGGATCGTTCTATTGATAAAAAAAAGTTTTGGATGGAACTGAGAACGTGACCAGACAGGTCCCATTCTTGCAGCTTCTTTAGTACTCCAGGACTCCAAGCACGATTAAATGCTTTGGAGACATCTAGAATGGCAACGTCGACATGCAAGTTGTCTCTTAGAGCATCGTCGAGGACCTGTCCCATAAATGTACGTTCCTGTACCGAACCCCTGTCGGAAATCATTTGTCTATGATCTAGTTGACCCGAGCTGCTGTTCACCATGGAGGTGCGGTTCAAAACGGCGTCTGTTCTCCATGTTAGAAGTGGCTGATCACCGTCCTAGTGCCAGCGTGGGACTCTAAACAGAGCTGTACACGATGGTCCCCCGGCGAGACAGGGGGTTGGGGCAGGTCCAACACGCCGCCCTGGAAAAAAAACATAAAGTTGCAAATACTGAAGAAAGAAATACGGATCGGAACAGTCGGCACAGACTTACGTGATGAAATAAGAACTACGATTGGAAACTCGGAACATGAAACTGCAAATCGCTCGGCTTTGCTGGACGGGACAAAAGGAATGGAAAAGCGGGCATCGAGCGGCTACTTTCTACCAGAACTGTGGCACCACCAACGAGCTGGGAACCGGCTTTGTAGTGCTGGATAAGATGCGCCAACGCGTGATTGGTTGGCAGCCGATCAACGCAAGGATGTGCAAGTTGAGGATTAAGGGCCGTTACTTCAACTACAGCATCATCAACGTGTACTGCCCATACGAAGGGAGACCCGACGACGAGAAAGAAGCGTTCTATGCGCAGCTGGAGCAGGTGTACGACGGCTGTTCGCAACGGGACGTCAAAATTGTCATCGGTGACATGAACGCTCAGGTAGGACGGGAGGCAATGTATAGACCGGCAATCGGGCCAAACAGCCTGCATGCCGTATCGAACGACAACGGCCAACGATGCGTGAACTTGTTCGAAGTACCTTTTTCCCCCGCAAGGATATCCACAAGGCCACCTGGAGAACACCTGACCAACACACAAAAAACCAAATCGATCACGTTCTAATCGACGGGAAATTCGTCTTCGACATTATCAACGTCCGCACGAACATGCGAACATAGATTCGGACCACTACCTAGTTGCAGTATGCATGCGGTCAAAACTCTCTACGGTGCATAACACCCGTCGAAGTCGAACGCCGCGACCCAACATTGAGCAACTACGGGACGCCGGAGTTGCCCAGGACTACGCGCAGCAGCTGGAAGTTGCACTACCCACGGAAGAGCAGCTTGGCGCAGCTTCTCTTGAAGATGGCTGGATGGACATCCGTTCCGCCATAGGTAGTACTGCTGCAGCGGCACTAGGCTGCAATCCCGGACCGAAGAAATAACTGGTTTGACGGCGAATGCAAACTGTTAGTAGAGGAGAAGAATGCAGCACGAGCGAGAATGCTGCAACACCGCACGAGATTGAATGTAGAGCGATACAGACAAGCGCAGAACAGACAAAAGTCGGTTTTCCGAAGGAAGAACCGTCAGCAGGGAGACCGAGATCGCGAGGCGATGGGAAATCTGTACCGCGTAAACAACACACGGAAGTTTTACGAGAAGCTAAATAGTTGGCGCAAAGGATACGTGCCGCAAGCCGATATGTGCAAGGACTTGGACGGTAACCTTCTCACGATCGAGTGTGAGGTGATTGAGAGATGGAAGCATTACTATGACGAGCACCTCAGCGGTGAAGCAGCAGAAAATGAAGGTGGCACGGCAACAGACCTTGGAGCACGCGCAGAAGACGACAGAATACCGGCTCCTGATCTTCAAGAAGTTGAGGAGGAGATCGGTCGGCTGAAGAACAACAAAGCAACTGGTGTAGATCAACTACCAAGTGAGCTATTAAAATACGGTGGTGAAGCACTGGTTAGATCGCTGCACTGGGTAATTGCCAGGATTTGGGAGGAGGAGATATTACCGGAGGAGTGGATGGAAGGTGTCGTATGCCCAATCTACAAAAAGGGCGACAAGTTGGATTGCAGCAATTACCGCGCGATCACACTGCTGAGCACCGCCTACAAGGCACTCTCCCAAATTGCCGCCGCCTGACACCATTTGCAAGAGAGTTCGTGGGGTAATACCAGGCGGGATTCATGGGTGTCCGCGCTACCATGGACCAAATTTTCGCGATTCGGCAGGTTCTGCAGAAATGCCGCAAATACAACGTGCCCACACATCACTTGTTCATCGATTTCAAATTCGCATACGACACAATCGATCGAGATCAGCTATGGCAGATTATGCACGAGTACGGATTTCCGGATAAACTGACGCGATTGGTCAAGGCGAAGATGGATCGAGTGATGTGCGTTGTTCGAGTATCGGAGACACTCTCGTGTCCCTTTGAATCTACTAGGGGATTACGGCAAGGGACTTTCGTGTCTGCTGTTCAACATCGCGTTAGAAGGTGTGATCAGAAGAGCAGGGATAGACACGAGTGGCACGATCTTCAGGAAAACCATCCAACTTCTTGGCATCGCTGATGACATTGACATAATGGCACGGAACTTTGAGACGATGGCGGAAACGTACATCAGAGTGAAGGCTGAAGCCAGGCGGATTGGACTTGCCATCAACGCATCAAAGACAAAATACATGAAAGGAAGAGGTTCTAGGGAAGACAATGTTAGCCTCTCACCCCGAGTTCAGATTGAGTTCGTGTATTTGGGCTCACTGGTGACCGCCGAAAATGATACCAGCAGAGAAATTCAAAGACGCATTATGGCAGGGAATCGTGCCTACTTTGGACTCCGGAGGACGCTCCGGTCGAATAAAATTTGCCGCCGCAGGAAGTTGACTGTCTACAAGACGCTGATTAGACCGGTGGACCTCTACGGCCATGAGACCTGGACTATGCTCGTGGAGGACCAACGCGCCCTTGGTATTTTCGAACGGAAGGTGTTGCGTACCATCTACGGTGGAGTGCAGATGGATGACGGAACGTGGAGGAGGCGAATGAACCACGAATTGCACCAGCTGCTGGGAGAACCATCCATCGTCCACATTGCAAAAATTGGGTGACTACGGTGGGCTGGACACGTCGTAAAAATGCCGCACGCGACCAGTGAAAATGGTTCTATCCAACAGGCGACCCAACAGGAACAAGAAGAAGAGGCGCGCAGCGGGCAACGTGGTTCGACCAAGTAGAAGGCGACCTGCGGACCCTTCGCAGACTACGAGGTTGGTGAAGTGTGACAATGGATCGAGTTGAGACGACTTCTTCGGACAGCAGAGGAAAACAAGGCCTTAGCCTGATTGGTAAGGTAAGTATGATCCAGTTGATTGTATTCTCGAAGGTAAGCTGTTAGTCTTCTGTTGATGATCCTTTCGTAAATCTTACAGGCGCAGCTGATTAATGTGATTGGACGGAAGTCCTTGGTATCAATTGATGAAGATCCGTTGTTCGGTATGGGAATCACCAGGCTGTAACGCCACTGCTCTGGAATAGATTTAAATTTTTAAGAAGCATTTGTTTGCCACGAATCGGAAGGTGCTTAAGCATAGGGTATCCAATATCGTCAGTGCCTTCAGATTTTCCACTGCTACCAGCGAGAGCAAATGATAATACCGCCATGGTAAAAGGTTGGTTGATTGAGGAGTTTTGGCAATCGGATGGTATTACGAATGTTGATACGGAGTCCGTGCATGCTTTGTTGCGGCGAAGGAAAGCTTCACTGTAGTTATTAACAGCTGAGAGATCAGTAAAGTAATCCGCAAGGGTGTCGGCAACAATCGCTGGATCCCGGGAGATTCCAGTCTGACCGCGGATTGTCATTCCCTTTGATTTTCTTTTTCCACTCACGGCGTTTACGTTACTCCAGAGTTCTGTAGCTGACTGGTTGCTGTTGATTGTTTCGAGGAATTTCTCCCAGCTGTGACGTTGAGCGTCTCGTTCGGTTTGGCGACAATCGAACCTTTCGATTCGGGACGTGGCCAAAAAGGTCAATTCTTCCGTCTGGTTCGACCAGCAGCCAATGAAGCGGGCCGGACTTCATGTCTTCAAGGTAAGGAAGGCGCCTAACCATACCGATAAACATAATACGGTGGTCAAATCCCGCACCAGGAAGCTGTACCGCGAGTGGTTGGTGCAGCTGAGAGTCCCGCCTGGATGTTCCGGAAGAAGAAGGTCGACAAATTTACCAAGAAGTACTTAGTATGGTAGGCGATCTGTGGGTGCGGCAAATTTAGCAAGCCGTACATAACAACCAGCACCATCAACGGCCAAATATTTAAAGAAGAATGCCTCCAGAAGCGCCTGTGGTCCTCCTTCCGGTCCCACGAAGGTGACACTCTGTTCTGTTTTTGGATTTGGCATCGTGTCATTATGCGAAACCGGTGATGGAGTGGTACGAAACCAACGATGTTGTTTTTGTGCCGAAGGAGGCAAATCCGCCAAACTCTCCAGAACTTCGCCCAATAGAAAAACTCTGGGCGATTATGAAGCTCTGCAAGCTCCGGAAAACAGGGAAGGTCTTAAAAAACGACAAGGATTTGAAGAAAGAGTGGATGAAAGTGTGTAAGAAAGATGGCGCATGTGTAGCACATGATTTGATGGGTAGCGTCAAGTCCAAGGTGCGGGCATTTAGCCTAGGAGAGGAGGTTGAATAAACCGACTTAGCTAATATGTGTTTATTTATTTTCTGAGAGTTTCAAAAATATCCGACTTAAAATGAATGTATGGTGATCATTTTTTTTCGAGCACAGTTTTTAATTAACAAAAGTACGAACGTGCTCTCCTCGGCAAAGTTGTCCGTTTAACATTCCTCAGAAGATTATAGTATTATTTTTGAATTCAACTTTTGATGATTGAACTTCATTATGTAATTCGAAGAGTTAAAAAAAAAACACACATGAAAATATATAACATCCAACATGTTGTGACAACAGGGTTCTTTAAAGGTATTGAGGTTAATGCATATTCGTAATCTGCATTAAAAATGGAACCCAAACCCAAAATTTCATCAATTTTGGTACACTGGAACTATTTTAAATAAGTACGAATACATTTGCAAAAATCACCTTATTAGCGCCCCTCGGTGTCACTTTGTATGGGAGCGTGCTGTCAGTTTGTCAGTTTAGTGTCAAACAGTGAAGTTATTATTTTGCTTAAAATCTATATTTAAAAATCGAGATTAAAGTGTGTTGGTTTGAAAAAACTATCGCTCTGCTCAGAAAACGAAGCCCTGCCAGATGATATATAAAAACCGATATATTTTTCAAAATTAAAGAAGCCAATTGTTTACCATTCAGGTTGGATCCTAAGGAATACGTAAATATGAATATGGTAATGTTTGGTTTCCCAAAATTATAATGCATTAGCAATATGTTTTTTGGTGATGACAATGAAAATTGACAAGTGTTAACTTAGGTCATTCTAGTTACTATCCCTGAATGCTTTCGGTATTCGATTCTGCTTGTTCTTAGAATCACAGTTATTCTGATTTTTGTTTTGTTTTGGAAAACAGTAGGATTTTCCTTCAGTACGGGACGCCTTCGGGGCTTCTTATAAAATTCCCTTGTAGCTCATTTAATGTAGATAGATCTTTCTTACAGAAATCTTTTAAATGTTCTTCGGGAGTTTGGCGCATATTTTGATCAATAGACTAAATGTAGTAACCTGGATTGCACTGTCATCTCCTGTTTTTGCAAGTAATTTCGGTTTTCATCGAAGTAATCTATAAGACTCAGTAGTAGGATCAGTAGTAGAGAATATATTTTTTTGTCGAATTAATCGATAAATATATGGTAAATTGCAGTTCAATAACAGTTTAGAAATTTTTAGTATATAATTTAACCTACATTATGCTAAGCTAACAAAACACTTCCGAGGCGATAGTAAATTTCTCATAGAAAGTACCATCGTTTACGCTTAACATTCAACAATTTAAGGCATTCGTGGTGTTTCGGTTTTCGCTGATAATTTAACATTTCTCGAATATTAAACACAGTCAATTGTATATGAACGAACGTACATGCTGTAGCAGCGCGGGGCGGAGAGGGGAAGGCACGACCAATCCTATTTGAAAGCCGACTCCTTCAAATGGTTGTCTATCTGTTTTGCACATTTGGGGCAGTTCTCGAAGCTATTCCTAAAAGAAAAGAGTAAAATGTTTTCAAATTTGTCACTTCAAACAAATTCCACCCTCTTACCGTACAACGTTGCTGAGCACCTTATTCCTACTCATTTCGTTGGCTAGTTTTGCCTGGAGAGCCGAAATCAGTTCATCTTTGGTCTGAAGCTGTTGCTTCAGATGAGATATGGTTTCTTCCTGAGCTTCAAAAATTATCTGAAAATAGGAGAATATCCCGAAAATTTGAAACTATGCTACACTACGCGAATTTCCTGGAATTATCCTACCCGAGATTCCTCCATGCTCTCCGAGTAGGACGGCGGTTCGTCGAGGCAGAAAAACTCCCGCACCGCCGGGTTGGTCCGCATGGCGTCATCGCTCAGGATGGTATTGATGAAGGTCTGCAGACCTTGTATCCGGTTGTCGATAAAGCCGCTGCTGAAGTTATCGCCAAACCATTTCTTCCGCGGCAGTATCAGGGTGCAGTGTGGAAACAGCGAACGTAATTTGTTGTTCAGTCGGACAAAGTCGGTGTAGCGCCGCAGTACCAGCCAGCACGTGTGGGAGATGCTATTTTCGATGCGCAGCTTGAAGATCTTCACGGTCGCGAGGGGGCGGTGGGTGGGTGAAAGTAGAGAGAAAAGAGAGGTCATGAAAAATGCGCGAATAAACAGAGGCTTTGTTTCTTCGGGGTGCATTCGGTGTTTGTTTTTTTTTCTGGGATTCAGGATCAGACTAGCTGATGAAAAAGCGCGTAGGTCGTTGTAATTGCGATGTTACGTTTGCTTTAAGTTTGTTAGTAATTCACATTTTTTAAATTATATGGACGATCTCGAGATCTCAGAATTCCATTTTGAGTTTCAGATGCAACAGATTTGTATAATCATCGTTTTCATTTGCGTCAATCCATTTTTGTCCATGGTTTCATAACTACGCCTGTCCTCAGGCTGCCATACCGTATGCGTGATAATGTTTGCACCATCGTACAAATAAGGTTCCCGTTTCACCTGTGCATACAATGCCTTGGTTTTCTTTGCATGCACGTAACCTATAACTCATACCGTAGACGTAGTAGGCTGTGTATAAAAGAAAATGATTTACTTAGTTTGACAGTTGCACCATGACGAAGTGGCAGCGTATTCGTGATTTGTCCCACGAGCAAATGTCACAAAAAGACATTTCAATAGCCGTGGGAGTGTCCCGGTGGACCGTCAAAAGGGTTTTAGACCGAGAAAAGAAAGGACAACTATCCGCGAAGGTGGCCACAGGTCGTCCGAGATCAGCTCGGGTTCCAGTGCGTTCAATAAGGAAAATGGCAAAGGAACATGGGATCAGTGACTTTACGGCACGGAAGATCGTAAAGGAAGATTGCGGGGCGAAGTCGAAGGCACGGAAAAAAACTCACATGATTACCAACCGCATCCGGGAGCTACGAGTCGAACGATGCAAGAAAATCTTGAATTTCCTTAAGCGAAAAAATCCGGTATTCCTGTTCACCGACGAGAGCATGTTTACCGTCGATCCCGTATCAAATTCCAGAACCGACCGGTATATTAGCTCTCTTCCGGTAAAAGGCGTGGCCGACGAGCACAAGAACGTGTATCTGACCAAGCATCCTGCTAGCGTTATGGTGTTTGGATTGGTGGCTTCCGTTGGCAAAAAATGGACCCGGTGTTCATTCCAGAAGGCGACAAGGTCAACACGGAGGTCTACATCGGGATTTTAAGATAGTATGTTCTTCCGTGGATCAAAGAACAGTACGGTCCGAAGCCAAATGTTGTATTTTAACAAGATGGGGCTCCGTGCCACACCTCGAACCGCACTCAGAAGTGGTTGCAGGAACATCTTCCATTCTGGGCGAAGGATATGTGGCCGCCATCCAACCCCGATCTTAATCCGCTGGATTACTCAATATGGCGCTTCATGAAGGCCAAGGCCTGTTCTAAACGCCACCCGAGTACAGCAAGTCTCAGACAAACATTGACCCGTACCTGGAGAGAAATGGATCCAGACTATATTATTAGAACATAGTTTCATACTCTGAGAAACATCCCCCCTTTGAATAAATAAAAAAAAATCGAAAACGAAATTTTTGAGATTTGTTTTCATTTTGACATTGCTCAATGGTGCAAACATTATCACGCGTACGGTAGTTGTTGTTATTAATAGAGAGTTCTCGTTCTGTAAGCCGTAGTGGTAGTGAGTACTTGTCACTGAGGAAGTCTACAAGTACAGTACCCATTAGATTTTGGCAACACAACTACTAAACCGTTCGTTTTTGGCACGGGGTTCCATTATGTCTTCGTGCCAAAATCGAACGGATGTTGAAAATATTGTATCTAATCTAACACCAACACAGCTAGTTCATGAAAGCATCCTGGAAAAAGATAGATATACCTCCATCCTTTTTCTTGTCTATTTGGTATATTTTGAACATCAGAGATGCGCAAAATATATCAAAACGGCCAGGCCTACTGTGTAGCATTTAAGGGGCAAGATGATTCAGAAACATCGGGCCTGTTAAAATCAAAGATTAAAACACGATGCTTCTGAATCCAATAAATGGATGAAACGTGGACATCTCGTACCGTACGTTCCGCTGTATTGTTATTTATAAATGATTGGTCGTTGGGAGTATCTAATCTAAAAAAGTTAAGTGATGCTCAATTTTCCTCCAGTGGATGGGACATGAGCACTAGCTCTTGTCCTAGCCCATATGGCTTATGGTTATAGCGCCATTACTCGCTGTCTGAAAAGAGAAAAATTGAATAAAAGGCCGTAGGAGAAAGGAAATGGAGGAAGGAACCCCTAGTTCTATCTTCCCTTGAGAAAAAGTGGGTCTCTAATCAATCTACAGGAAAAGTTCGCTAAAACTCACAATGGCCCTTATTACGGTGAAAACGAAGTGAAGTGAGCAGTTGTCACTCACGTTGAAGTGATTGCCATGTAAATCAAGTGGGAATCACTTCACCGTGAGTGACAAGTTGTCATTTCACCGTGATATGACATCGGTAATAAAGGCCAATGACTCGCGAACTTTTCCTTTTGTGTGCCTCATAAAACCTCGCAAAGTTTTCCAACGCTTAACACGAACAGGTGAGAACTAGACTTCAGTAGAGAGTAAAGGGTGCTACGGTCAAAATTTGGTCAAGGGAAAACGCGTGTAAATCGGTGAAATCGTTTATTTAAAAAATCAAATTAAATTTCTTTTTCAAGTTCAATTAGTATAAAATTCAGGAAAAATATTCAGTTAGGCTTCCGCTTTTCCAAATCCGAATTGCCGGGCCTTACGCTTGACCCCTGCCATCAGATTTTGTACAGCCACCTTGTCCACCTTCTTCGCCGCAGAAAGCCAGTTTGCCTTGAACTGCTGCTCGCCCTTAGCAGTTTTTTTGGTCTTCTTTAGGTTCCGCTTGACAATAGCCCAGTATTTCTCAATTGGGCGGAGCTCTGGCGTGTTGGGAGGGTTCTTGTCCTTGGGAACCACCTGCACGTTGTTGGCGGCGTACCACTCCATGGCCTTTTTACCGTAATGGCAAGATGCCAAATCCGGCCAAAACAGTACGGAACAACCGTGTTTCTTCAGGAAAGGCTGCAGACGTTTATTCAAACACTCTTTCACGTAAATTTCTTGGTTGACAGTCCCGGAAGCTATGAAAATGCTGCTTTTCAAGCCACAGGTACAGATGGCTTTCCAAACCAGATATTTCTTTGCGAACTTTGACAGTTTCATGTGCTTGAAAACATCTGCTACCTTTCCCCTTCCTTTTGCCGTATAAAACTCCTGTCCCGGAAGCTGCTTGTAGTCGGCTTTGACGTAGGTTTCGTCGTCCATTACCACGCAGTCAAACTTCGTCAGCATCGTCGTGTACAGCCTCCGGGATCGCGCTTTGGCCGTCGTATTTTGTTTATCATCGCGATTTGGAGTCACTACCTTCTTGTAAGTCGATAGTCCGGCTCGTTTTTTGGCTCGATGCACGGTTGTAGACGATACACCCAGCTTATTTGCGGCATCTCGGAGAGAGAGGTTAGGGTTTCGCTTGCAACTACCGGCAACTCTCTTTGTCGTCTCAGCGGCTTCCGGTTTTCGATTTTCCCCGATCCAGACTTCCTGGCTGTCGACAAACGTTCCCCAAACACTTTAATTACATTTGTAACGGTTGATTTGGCAACTTTTAGCGATTTTGCCAACTTTGCGTGCGAGTAGCTCGGATTTTCGCGATGCGCGAGCAAAATTTTGATACGCTGCTCTTCTTGCTTGGACGGCATTTTGACAACTGAAGAGTGAATTCCAAAATCAAAATAGGAGCAACATTCTACACACACACACCTTCAAAATGAGGGGTGTTCAGGTTTTTTAAATGCAAAATTGAAAGAAATACGTCAAGTTGATATGGACCAAATTTTGACCGTATCACCCTTTAATAGAATAAAAATATATTAAAAAATATAAGAACACATAAATGAAAATAAAGGGACGAAATCAGCCAGTTTCATAATTTAGTACTCTTACTGTTCTACTGCACTACTGTTGAACCAAAGGCACTTCCAAGACTTTTCCGGGTTATTTTCAAACTGGTTCAAAAATTCTTCAGGCAAATCATGAGCACATGAACGTTCAAGTACAAAACATCAAACGTCTAAAACCAGAAAAAAAGGGGCTAGGACGATTCTCTTGTCGAATGAATCAATTGGCAAATCTATGTTGGAACTTGGCCATACCCACTCGTTCCCAACCTTTGACAATAGCGTGCTCGACATTTGATTTGACACATCAAACTATTCCATCGGATCTTCAAAGACACTCTTGCACCATCCGCCTCCAATCAGAATCATCGGGCTAGCTTGCCAATCACCTAATAACAGCTCTGACGAAAAGGATGCTGATAAAAAAAAAACACTTTGAATTGCATTTCACCGATCACTTGTACTTTCTTTGCACTAAAATTCTTGAACTATGTTATCGAGTGGCATATTGTTTCGGGCTAAAACGCGATGAAAAAAATCAATCACAGAAAAAATGAAGCCTAAAGTTTGACACTTGGACATTTTTCACGTCTTCACACAAGCAGAGCACACTTCGATCATCCGAACGGATGTTGAAAATATTGTATTTTTGAAAATTGTGATTACAATTTTTAATAACTGATTGATTATATTAATAACACCTATGTCATAAAGATGACTCACGGTGGTTTAAAATCAACAAAATCATAAATTAAATTTTGGCACGGTTCGATTTTGGCAACCCTAAATTTTCGGGCTTTTTGTCAAAATCGAACGGATACGGTAGTTGGTTATCTGTCAAAAGATGAGCAGTTCTAGTGTAATTAAATGGAAAATTTCTCAACCCACTTCAAAAACTCTTTATAAGGGATTCCGCTAAGGGGTTTGACCAAGTCACTCAATACATGGTGCCGCAATTAGATTCGGCACAATTTCGTAGGCATTTGATTGTTGTAAATAAGATGGAAGCACTGCTGGTCACAAAAGTTGTGCACAACATTACGTGCTATTTGGCTGTATATTCAGGAACATACCAGAGGAACTCAGACCAGCTGTTCACTTCTCGGTTCAATTATAGATTTAAATCCGAAATGTCGCTAGACCGATTTATCCTTATGATTTCAAACCAGAACGATCAAGGTGTCAGACATAATAAGAATAATTTACTCGGCAACTTGAAAATCGAAATTTATTCCTTAGCAACCAGAGGACACCGATAATGACCATGCATCAGAACCCTAGTCTTAAACACTTCAAACTAGAGAACAACGAATAGCAGATTAGGAATCACATAGGTGAAGACTAACTAACTCATTTTTTCCTTGATTCTAGATCATCCTCGGTCCAGGCAATCCGAGGACACTATCAACTAACTAAGATGTGTTCCTTTAATTACTGAAAAATCCTGTTCCCCTAGTTTGAAGTAGTCAGGACTAGAAATCGGTGGTAGATCTTACATCCCGTACTTCTTCTTCTTCTTCGCATTTCAAGCTTATTGCATATCGCATATTAGCTTATTGCGTGCTCTCAACTTAGTGTTCTAGATGCACTTCCACAGATATTAATTGAGAGCTTTCGATGCCTGTACCATTTTTGCATTGGTATAATTGTGTGACAAGTTCTATCATACTTCTATGCCCAGGGAAGTCGAGAAATTTTCCAACGCGAAAAATTCCTAGACCGGACCGGGAATCGAACCCAGCCACCTCCAGCATGGCCTTGCTTTGTAGCTGCGCCTTTACCGACTGAGCTAAGAGAGCCCCCCCCCCCCCCCCCGTTACATCCCGTAACGTACCACGAAAAGGTGATCTACCTACGATTTTCTGTGATTTTTCACAGATATTCGTTGAAAAATTACAGGAAAACTATGAAAAATCGCCGAACTGTTTACCGAACGTTCAGCTGTTGAGATTTCGGTAAAATATCACAGATTTCGGTAAAATAATCTTAGTGTGTTACTGTCTACGACAAAGTTGTTCAGGAGGTCGAGGTCTTTTGGCTGGTGGACAGTAATTCAGAATTTAGGCATTGACCTCATGAACAACTTTTTTGAAGACAGTAATTTTCTACCTGTTCAGAATCTCGAGCTTAGCATACGTGAGAATTGTACACGTTTACTAGCGCCACGTGATGAGAAAATTCTGGACTTCTGTCCACCAGCCAAAAAGTCTTGACCCCCTGAACAAGTTTGCCGAAAACAGTAACTTTCTATCTGCTCAGGATCTCGAGCTATTGTATATGCGAGAATTGCATGTGTATACTAGCACCGAGTAAAGAAAAAAAATATGAACAACTGTCCACCAACGACTTTCTGAACAACTTTGCCAAAGACATTTACTCTCTATCTGGTCAAGATCTAGTGATGAATCACATGCGAGAACTTAACATGTATACGAGCACTACCTAGTGAGAAGATTCTGAACTACTGTTAACTAGCAAAAAGGCTATGATCTCCTGAACAGCTTTGCCTAAGACAGTAACTTTCTATCTGGGCACGATCTCGAGATATTTTATGAGAATTTCACGTGTATACTAGCGCCGCGTAGTGAAAAAAATATCTGAAGAACTGTCCACCAGCCAAAAATACTTGACCCCCTGAACAAGTTGGCCGAAGACAGTAACTTTCTATCTGCTCAGGATCTCGAACTATTGTATATGCGAAAATTGCACATATATACTAGCGCCACGTAGTGAGAATTTTTGAACTACTTCACCAACGAAAAGATCTTGACTTCCTGAAAAACTTTGCCGAAGACAGTAACTTTTTATCTGGTAAGGATCTAGAGATATTTGATATATGCGAGAATCTTGCATGCATACTAGCGCCGCGAAGTGAGAAAACTCTGAATTACTGCCCACCAACGAAAAGGCCTTGACCTTCTGAACAACTTTGCCGAAGACAGTAATTTTCTATCTGGTCAGGATCTCGAGATATTTTATATGAGAATTTCACGTGTATACTAGCGCCGCGTATTGAGAAATTTTTGAACTATTGTGCACCAAGAAATAGGGTTTGATCTCATCAACAACTTTGTCGACGACAGTAACTTTCTATCTGGTCATCTCGAGATTTTCCATGTTGTAACCAATTAAGTGAAATCCCACGTAGTACGGACACCGTTAACGCGGTTTCCATTCACATTTTCTCTATTATCCGCATTTTTTGGATAAAAGTTTAGCTTGTTTAGTTAAAAACAAGTTTTTTAAAGGAATACCCACTGGTTTCATATGGATTGGTAGCTCGGCTGCGGAATGGCAATGGAAAACTCACACTGTTGTACAAAGTATAACGCGCGAGTACTCGTGTTACAAAAGTTGGCGCGAGTAACGGAGGTTTAATAAAGACAGCCAACCAGCCAGGTTACATGTACATTTTTGGTAATATTCGGCCTGTTTCTTTCAAACGTGTGGCCGAAAAAAACGTTTGAGTAAAATTTTACTAGCATAAAGCTCGATATTCGGCTAAAGTATTTGGCCGAATACTATGGCGACCAAATAGGGTAGAGCACTACTTCGACATTAGCTCTCATTTCCATCACTTCGATCAGTTCTAATGTTGGCCTATGGATCTAAGATTGGACCCATCGCTAAAAATCTGCTATTTATCAATTTTATCTAGATGAACGCGTCTCATTGGGACGGTACTAATGAATATTTTTGGTCGCTATTGAAAATTTAGCCGATTGCTGAATTTATGTATGGGCCCACATTAGGGGCATTTAGGCCGACATTACATCCATTTCCACTATATTCTTCTCGAAAACAAAAGAAGCGTTCCTTGCTAATCCATTTTTTCTCCCTTCATTCGTATGCCGAAATGAATTCAATGGCGTTTCAATATGTTGTGACTGTGTTGAAACTCGTATGACGGAATTGGAGTCAAGAAGCGATGTTTTTTGTTATCAATATCTCCTCAATTTGTTACACTTTATCAAATCTAACTAGGGGAATTTACGTATTCTCGTCAATCTAAGCAGCGTCTGCACTTCTACTAGCATTTTCTCAGCGTCACGCACATATATGATGTGTCTGTTTGTTTACATTCATCTGCTGCTTGCTTCTCTATCCATTCCAATCGACAGAATTTTTCAAAACGTTTTGAATGCGTTTTTACAACGCTCCAAACTTCTCAGGTGAGTGTGACTATTGTCGGCAGTCTCTTTTTCTTCGGCAACCTTCCCATTAGAACTGCGTGTTAACCAGCTGTTCTATTATCGGCAACTCGAAATCAACCTCATTTTGTAGTGCGTATGCTTTATTTGAAAAAAAATGTAGCATTACTGGATTGCTCGATCGTTCAAATATAATCAGATTGAAGCTGAAAGGCTAAACAATCGTTTGGACACATTCAGGGAAGTGCGTTGATGGGAAAACATAGTGAAATTAACGTTTAAATTTTGGTTGCCGAAAACAGTCAATGGGTGCCGAAGCCAACATTTACCCTAGTATGGAAAGGTAAATAAATGTTGAAGTCATCTTTGATAGATTCCGTTATTTGTGCACATCCAGTCGTAAGAGTGCGAGTTGATGACGGAAATTTGATCTTAACCCTATTCGGTGCAGCACTAATCTTGAATTATTTTGTTCATTTGTGGTAGACGGGTAAACCCATAGAACACAGCTTTACTAGCTACATAGCATAGCTTTACTCACTGAGTTGCACCCACCGCTTTTTCTCGGCGGCGTTTCAACCAGTCGTCTGATTTTTTGCATGTGAGTAGTGCCAATGGAGAACTAGTCACTCGCAGAAAATAAGAGCGTTTGGTTGAACATTCGCCGAGAAAAAGCAGTGGGTAGAACTCAGTGGGTAACGCGTTCTTCGGGGGAAGCTGTACTCATATTCTTGTTTGACAAGACCAGGGCTGGAAAATGTCATTTTCAATGAAAGATCTCACGCGATATTTACAGATATACTTCTGTCACTATCATCGGATGAGAAAATGATAGAGATTTTCTTCAAAATCTCATCGAATTTTTTGTCATGACAGAACGTGACAGTGTTGTGTTTATTGTAATTACTAGCTCATTTATTGTTATAAATGTTACTAGTTCCGAGGAAATCTTAATAATATATTCATTTTAACGATTACATACGGTTGCTTGCTTTAATTCATCTAAATCGGTTAGAAATGTGGCTGTCAAAACCGCATAAGAATTATTCTCATGAGTGCTTGATCATTGGAAAATGTCAAGAAAGCCAATGATAGGTAGTTTCGTCTCGTGATAGTGAGAGGGCCTGTTTTCTCATTGTCACATGACGGCCGTGATATTTACCAGCCCTTGGCGAGGCCATTAGAATAATGTCTGTCTTCGGTTACCGCAAAATCTTTGATCTAGGTTTTCCTAAGCCTTTTCCGATAAGGGCCATAGCCATATGATCGTTCAGTCTATCATACGATATTCGTACTGTTCCTCTCACTTTTCCACGATCCATCCTACCGTCGAGGAATTAACCGTGATCAGATCATGATTTGCACTGCGTGTGCCAAACTATTGCCCATGTTTTCCCCGAATCACGCAAACATTCCATCACGAATCGATCTTCACACATGCCGCGAGGCATGCTATATCTCCCTTCGCCGCATGCTTATCTATCGCACGCAACAATCACTAACTAAATAGACATACTAAGGTACCATCTCTATACCATAACAAAATCCCAAAGCAAAACAACACTTACAGTGAATCTGGCTCTCTCCTCCATGACTTCATAGCCGATGATCGGTATCCGGACGGCGACATTGTTGTTGTTGTTGTTGTTGATGCCTGCGTACTTGTCGGCCCTGCCCAGCTCGCTACCGATCTCCGATGGCCTCCGGCTACTTTCGTACATCCTTTGGCGATTGCTAGTGCTGGTAGCTGCACTGCCCTGGCCAAACGGTGGCGGAGGCTGATGGGTACTCTTGACTGCCAACGTCCGGAGGCAAACTTCGGATTTGGCACCCAGGTACAAGTTGTTCGTATCCACGGCGTCACTCGTCGTGGTCCCACCGGGGGATGCCGCACTGTGGAGATCACTTTCGGACTTGGTGAACCGTAACGATGACGATGATGATGAGTGGGTGGTGCTGCGTTTCTGCAAACTCGGATAGGAAACAGAGCGTTTCTTGTGAGTCAGGCCTGCTCCTGCTGCTGCTACAGTCGTCGTCGTAGATGATATGCTGACGGTGCTTGAATTTCTCCACTTTTCATTTTTACTACTATGCTGGTGATGATGATGATGGTGATGACTATTATTATGGTGATGGCCACCAGTAGCGCTAGCACCAACACTACTGCCAGTGCCACTGACGACGATGCCTGTTGGACCTCCGCCGAAGCTTCGACTTTTGTTGATAAAGTGATGCTGCTTCTGCTGGGTAGACGATAATTTGTTCCTGTCCCGTTTCTGTATAGCACGAAGCGACATCTTCGCTCCCTGTCGAACCTGACGACAAGCGGACACTTATACACTTAGTAGACTGTCGTAATTGACCGAACAGAACCGATTCTAGTTAGATGATACACTCGCCACTTTCTTTCGTCGTGATATATTGAATCGTAGTTAGTAACACACCGTCAGCTGAGAAGTATGATGAAGGAAACCTTGCAGATTGTGCTTCGTCGTCGTAAGCCAATTTGTGTTTGGCAAATGCTAAGCTTGTTGTTTCTTTGTCCACCACTGCTACTGCTACTGCTGACTGGACAGAGTAAGTCGCTTTACGTGTTTCCTCAGGTGAAGCCCACCACACTTGTGAGGGGGCACTGCTTCTCCGATGGTAACAATTTCAGTATCAATAGCTCCACTGCGATTGGGTGGAAGTTTTTCGGTGCACAAACGAGAAAGCAAAATAAGATAGACTGACTGACTGATTGAATGAAGCACCTAGGTAGGTGGTGTACCTACCAGCTAAGTAACTTGACGAGGAGGCTTACATGACTTTCGAGTTTTGAATGCTCGAATGCGTTGCATCTCTCTATAGTTGTGAGCGGAGCTCAGCAAATCGGACGGAAAACAAAAACGAAACAAGCAATAAACATCTGTAGGAACTACCACGCTCTACAAAAATGTGTTGTACATATTAGCAGCTGCCTTGTGGAAGTGCTGGTGTGGCTGACGAGACTGGTTGGCATGGGTGCATATTGAATGTTTTCATTCGTTGCCATGTACAAGAGAGCAACACGAACAGAGTCAGTTGTGTAGTGGTGAAGACGGTGCTTTTAAATGCGAACACAGTGTTGTTATATCACACACCACACAAAGAAGATTAATTCAAGTATGGATCAGATTGTATCGGAGTGGGTTTGTTTGGTTTGAATGAATTCGAGGCAATCCATGAGCCTGTGTGCGAGAAGATGATTGCGTGAAGTTCATTTATTTACGGTATGAATAGAAACGTCAAAGGTTTGAAAATGTTGGTGGTCTTCAGCAGCGTTGTCAGATATACCGATTTATCGGAATTTATACCGATTTCCGAACTAGATACCGATATACAGATAAGATTCCTCAGAATACCGATTTTTGAATACCGATTTATAGCGATTTTTTAAAATTGATCAACATTATTATTGCCTACCCGCGCTCGAATTTCGGAATAAATTACTATGAGAGACTTGTATATTTTTGAATAATTCAAAATTTTGAGCCCTGTAAGTTACGAAAATTAAAGATAGTTTCATTAACTTCTGTTCAAATTCCAAAACCCAATAATTTCAGGAAAGTCCAGCGAACTCCAGTGAATTTACAAAAACATCAGAAATATTTTGGAAACTTCACAAGTTCAAAGAACTTCAGGGAAATTTAGTGGTTTTCAGGAAAGTTTCATTTGTGTCAGAGAATAGAGAGAACTTTAGGGAAGCTCCGTGAACATCAGGACTGATCAATTAATTACAAGGAAATGCTGACATTTTAAAGGATTTCCGAGAAACTCAGGCAATGTTCCACAAATTTAGGAAACGTAATAGAAGTTACATGAACATAAGAATATTGTGAGAACATTTTAAGGGGAAATTCCGTGCTTTTCAATGGCAATGCCATGAATTAAAATTTAAAAAATCGGAAGATCAGAGATCTTCAATGATACAATAAATTCAAGAAAAATGTGAGAGCACTTAAGAAATTTCGTAATCTTCAAGAAAGTCCAGATACCTTTAAAGATGATTATAGATATTCAGGTAGTCTCATTATAATCAGGGAAGTTCCGAGTACTTGGAGGATGATCAGGGAACTCTAAAACAGCCCCATCAACTTCAAGAACATTACAACAACTTGTAAGGAATTGCGTGGAATTATGAAATATTGCTAAGTGCATTTCAGGCATGTTCCTTAAACTTCAGGGGCATTGCTTGGTCTTCAGGGATGTTCTATGAATATAAGGGAAATTTGCTGCATATGGTCAACATCCCCCAGAATTTTTTTTTAATTCTTTATTTTAGAGATTTTTAGCCGGAATTATGTCCTTATTTCTTTTGACTGTTCTGCATGCGCTCTGGCTTCCGAATTTCTCCAGAACTTTCTTGCAATCTACCTAGGAAGTGTCTGCCAGCGTCTCCAGGAAGTTTGTTCCGTCTTCTTCTGGAATAGAAATTCTGTGTCCATAAGCCATAGGTTTTCGACTTTTATTGGAAGGTTTTTCCAAACTTCTTCTGGCTTCCCCTAGAACTGGCTACTTCTGGAATTTACTTCCATTTTCCGAAACTTTTCTGGCTTCCTTTGCATGTGACATCCGATTTTTTTTTCCGATAGTTTCTTTGAATATTCACTAGAAGTTTCTCAATTCTTGTCTTGGTAGTTCCCGATTGTTTCTCCGACTTTTCTTAGAACTTTCTTCAAATTTCGTCCAGAAGAGCTTCTTTCTTCTTTCTCTGGAAGTTCCTTCAGAAGCTAATTCAACCATTCCCCGGAGTTTTCTTTCTGAATTTTCCTATCATAGTCCAAAAGTAAAAATTTTTGGTTTCAAAAACAGCTAAAATATAAAATAAATTAAAATAGTAAATACTGATAAATACCGATTTTTTTAAACCTTTGATACCGATAAACTTTGAAGCAATCTGGCAACGCTGGTCTTCAGTCTGAGTGAACCGTTTTTTACAGACAGGATAAAAAATGTTTGTACAGAATTTATATTCCCCCCTCAAAGCACAACACTGTCCCATATGAATAGGATTTTTTGTATATTTTTACTTATTGATATATATTAGACAAATTGCTGGTCACACAGATGGAGTCTATACTTATCTATTGGAATTTAAATAACCTATTTATATGATCTTTAACAGTAAGAACCTTTAAGGTTTTAGAAAAGTGTTGTTCGTCTTGATACACATCACAGTAGGGGAAAGTGGGGCAGTTTGGCAGTTTAACAGTAAGAAAATAATCATTAATGATGAAATTCAATGGAAAATTTTAATGATGTTTAACCAAATGGATAGTTTCAAGCCCTATTTACATCATGAATACAAATTGAATATTAAAAGCACATTTGAATCTTATGCAAGAAGATTTAAAAAAAATCGTTTTGTAACCGAAATTAAACCGTTGGGCAAATGCGGGGTGGTACGAGCGACCTTGTAAGGGTAAGAATATTATGTTCTCTTGAGGCTTTATGAAGGGTAAACAATGAACAGTTGTAGCATAAAAAGATTTAACCGAAACAATTATTTTTTATAGAATAAATTAAATGTCAGAAGTACTGCCTATTTAAGGCTATTTATTTTTTTCATTTTTGTGAATGAGTGATTTTTACCAAAACAGCTGTTTAAAAACAAGATTTCATATGATACAGTCATATTTATGAAAGGAATAAAGGGTGATACGGTCAAAATTTGGTCAAGGGAAAACGCGTGTAAATCGGTGAAATCGTTTATTTAAAAAATCAAATTAAATTTCTTTTTCAAGTTCAATTAGTATAAAATTCAGGAAAAATATTCAGTTAGGCTTCCGCTTTTCCAAATCCGAATTGCCATGCCTTACGCTTGACCCCTGCCATCAGCTTTTGTACAGCCACCTTGTCCACCTTCTTCGCCGCAGAAAGCCAGTTTGCCTTGAACTGCTGCTCGCCCTTAGCAGTTTTTTTGGTCTTCTTTAGGTTCCGCTTGACAATAGCCCAGTATTTCTCAATTGGGCGGAGCTCTGGCGTGTTGGGAGGGTTCTTGTCCTTGGGAACCACCTGCACGTTGTTGGCGGCGTACCACTCCATGGCCTTTTTACCGTAATGGCAAGATGCCAAATCCGACCAAAACAGTACGGAACAACCGTGTTTCTTCAGGAAAGGTAGCAGACGTTTATTCAAACACTCTTTCACGTAAATTTCTTGGTTGACAGTCCCGGAAGCTATGAAAATGCTGCTTTTCAAGCCACAGGTACAGATGGCTTGCCAAACCAGATATTTCTTTGCGAACTTTGACAGTTTCATGTGCTTGAAAACATCTGCTACCTTTCCCCTTCCTTTTGCCGTATAAAACTCCTGTCCCGGAAGCTGCTTGTAAATCGGCTTTGACGTAGGTTTCGTCGTCCATTACCACGCAGTCAAACTTCGTCAGCATCGTCGTGTACAGCCTCCGGGATCGCGCTTTGGCCGTCGTATTTTGTTTATCGTCGCGATTTGGAGTCACTACCTTCTTGTAAGTCGATAGTCCGGCTCGTTTTTTGGCTCGATGCACGGTTGTAGACGATACACCCAGCTTATTTGCGGCATCTCGGAGAGAGAGGTTAGGGTTTCGCTTGAAACTACCGGCAACTCTCTTTGTCGTCTCAGCGGCTTCCGGTTTTCGATTTCCCCCCGATCCAGACTTCCTGGCTGTCGACAAACGTTCCCCAAACACTTTAATTACATTTGTAACGGTTGATTTGGCAACTTTTAGCGATTTTAACAACTTTGCGTGCGAGTAGCTCGGATTTTCGCGATGCGCGAGCAAAATTTTGATACGCTGCTCTTCTTGCTTGGACGGCATTTTGACAACTGAAGAGTGAATTCCAAAATCAAAATAGGAGCAACATTCTACACACACACACCTTCAAAATGAGGGGTGTTCAGGTTTTTTAAATGCAAAATTGAAAGAAATACGTCAAGTTGATATTGACCAAATTTTGACCGTATCACCCTTTAATGCAACATTGAAGAATTTAAGTGGTTCTTATTTTGCCCCGAATGGACTTAAGTAATATTTTGTTAGAAAATCTTTCATGTTTAAAGCTTATAAAGCTGCTGAAGGAAAATCAACGATACGTTATAAGAAACTACTTATAGATCTTATTTTCTGATTCAAAACTCTTATAACAGATTTTTTTCAATGTATTTCCGCAAGACTTGAATGCATGAAACTGATGAAAACAAATTTCGTAATATGTAAAAGCCTTTTCAATATTCTTTCGAACACTGTGAACAAGTGACATCATTTCTAGAAATAATCCATTTCCGGAGACGAAACACCTAAAACTTTCATAAGTAGGGGAACTAGGGGCAAGAAGGTCACTCGGGGCAACAGTGCCATCCTCAATATATTTTGAAAATTAATTCATTTCAATCCTATCTCACGATGAACCTATGCACGGTATTCCTATGAAGCATTCGGTCCGAATCGAAGTCGTAAAAAAAATGCAAAAAATCATTTTGTGTTGATGCATTGAAAAGCTAGTTTTTTATAAAAATAAGGTATCATAAAATAAGGTTTTCGAAATTTCCAATTTATTTTTTTCACAATTTCTGCATTGAGACGTCACTATTGATGGTTGATTGAAACATTAGTAACAATAAATTATTAAATAGGGTTACGGTATGTAATGTGGGTCTAGTCCTTTCATTCGGCCTATCACGCAAATAAATAATTAATTAAGGAATATTACACAAAAAATAAGGAAAATATTGATCACTGATGATTGATAAATGTGTACCACACACAAATCAATTTATATCACAACATTTCAATACATTTTCAGCTCTCGTAAGTAATAAAACTGGTTGAGAATATCACTCTGTTCGGAGTTTTTAGCCGCCATGACTTCTAAGGTTAAGATGGGAAGGTTGCACTGACGATCATCAAATGGCCTGATTATGGCATTTATTGAATGGAATTACCTGATAATACACACTAGACGTAAAACTCACAGTTACTGTTTGAATATTTTATGTTTATTTTAATTGTTTAACAACGTTTTCACAAGTAAATCATGGACCCAACTTTAGGGACACATTTCTTTTCTATGTTCCTAACTTTGGCCCATGAAATTCATTTGACAGCATATAGCAATAAGAGTAACGTCAACAATGTGGTTTGCATTTGGATGATAAGGAACGAACAGGAAGGGAGATTTTTTCTGCCAAATCTGTATAATGAACATCACAATGTTTTGATTTAGATATTCTGCGGTCGAAAGACGATAAGCGAAATTTTTAATTTTTAATTTTTAACTTGAGTGATTTAATGTAGTTTTCGTAAAATTTTCTCTAAGAAATGTTTTGAGGAATGAAGAGTATTAAGTTAACAGTGATAGTGATAAAAAAAAATACATAAGAAAACGTTACCAAGAGCGTTTTTTTTGAGAATCAAACAGGATAGGACGAAGTTGCATCCATAAATAGACCCAATTTGGGGACAATAGACCGATATTACATACATTTCCCTGGTGAGTTTTTGTCTTAAAAAAAGTAAGTTTTTCAACTTTTTGCGGTTCCTGATAGCAAACGACATGATAAGCATATCTAAGCATACCATTTAGCAGTAGAATATCGTTTGCAGGTAAATTAATTGATGAGTTATGATTAAAAACGTAATCTATGGCTGCATATTAGACCGAGGTTAGGGACGTATACCCTATTTACTTTAATTAATCAAAAAATAAATTCCTAAAAATAAACTTTATACGGGGCAAGAGTGCCACCCCTACATTTATGTATTAAATTGTACAAAACTGTTCAGAAACTAGCACAATTGGGCATTTATGTTTCCAATATACATTGTTTTCGTGAAATTTTGGGAAACAAACTGTATAAAATAGTATCAAAAATATTTTCCATTTGAATTCTTTGACGCACATGGTTTATATGTTTTTGATAAAAAAAATATCAATATTTTAGTGGAATAAACAATAAAAGCAGTTGCTGTCATACCTAATAATAGTAATTTGTTGTTTAGAAATGAACATTAATCAGTTTCACTTCATTTTAGACACATGGTCTTTTGCCCCATAAGAGTGACCCTGTTGCCCCATAGCATTTTTTAGAGCAGGTACGACATGACATTTTGAAAAAATCATTAACATTTTTTGATGGGGTTTAATTTAAATTTCAATGATGATACATGGAGACAAGGTTATAAACATACAATTCGGTTCACGAACTCCTATAAATATTCATGGAATCGCATATTAAAACGCGCTATCGTTAGAGTGACCTTCTTGCCCATAGTTCCCTACATAGTAGATGTTCAATCTGAATTTCAATAAATTCTCTAAGTATAAAGTCGATATCCACTGAAAAATATGAACAGCAGCAGAACGAAAGCATCTTAAATGGAACATCGCTTTGGCACTGAGATATTATGGTAGTTATGGCGAACAAGCACAACAATCGATATTTTTACTCTGGCAAATTTATTGCATTACTTACTGCTAACCCATTTACCGAGGCCAACTGATCAGTAGGGAAAAGTCGGTAAAGACAGATACAGCAGGAAAGATGGACACTTGCTGCTTCATTTAGTTTCTGTTTGAAGGCTGTAGTTATACATACATACGTACGCTACATTATATTGACTAATGCACTGTTTATTTTCTTTTCCACTTTCAGGCCCTGTCCGTGCAGGTGAAATGCTTCGAAGAAATCATCTCGATCGGTTATTCCGTATACCGAATCCATGGACTGCCCTGGTTCCGCAGTCTCTCGTGGTACTTCCTGGTCACGTCCAACTACTTCTTCTATGGCGAGAATCTGGTTGACTACTTTGGCGTGGCCGTCAATCGAGTGGTAAGTAGTATTTCGAAAGTTTCAAAAGGTCAATCTTCAAATTTGTCTTCAACTTTCAGGACTCGCTGCGGTTCCTAGTCAAGTACCATCGCTTCCTGTCGTTCTGCTTGTACTGCATCGGGTTCGTATGGTTCGTCCTGTCGCTGGTCAAGAAGTACTACATGAAACAGTTCAGCCTTTTCGCTTGGACCCACGTGGCTCTGTTGATTGTGGTTACCCAAAGCTATCTGATCATTCAGAACATTTTCGAGGGATTGATCTGGTTCATCGTGCCGGTTTCGATGATCGTTTGCAACGACGTGATGGCGTACATGTTTGGTTTCTTCTTCGGTCGGACACCGCTCATCAAGCTTAGCCCGAAGAAGACCTGGGAGGGCTTCATCGGGGGTGGATTTGCAACGGTGCTGTTTGGATTGCTATTTTCTTACTACTTCTGCCAGTTTCAGTACTTTGTCTGTCCGATCGAGTACTCGGAAAGCGCTGGGCGGATGACGATCGAGTGCGAACCGAGCTATCTGTTCCAACCGCAGGAATACAGCTTTCAACTGGTAGGAAGATGGGATTTTAAATTGACGGTTGGATTGAGTAATAATCAACAATTTGCTTTCAGTTCGGATCTATGAAGTCGATTACCATCTATCCATTCATGTTGCATTCGCTGTCGTTGAGCATCTTCAGCTCCGTCATTGGACCATTCGGAGGATTCTTTGCATCTGGATTCAAGCGAGCATTTAAGATCAAGGTAAGTTGTTTAGTGGGAAAAATTGGTGTTGTAATTCAGTTGAGGGGGTTATTTGACCAAGCTACTATTACAGAAGTTTAACTTCAGTAATTTAAGTTTACTTTCAGTTTAGAAGATAATTCGAAATCACACAACGGAATTTTAAGGGAAGTTTGGCTGACTTCCCCAGTATGTAGTTGAAGATGCTAATTTCGAATAAATGACTGAAGTGGTAATTTTTATACGATAGTTGTGGAGGAGATGAAAGTATAGAATTGATAGTTCCGTTTAGATTACGGCAGTGTGAAAATTGCATATGGAAGAGTAGATAGCGAGCTAGGACAACTTTTAAGGAAGGTACAAATCGTTTCTATCATCTCTCTTTACCAAACTCCCCCTTTGGAGAGGGATGGTGAGGGGTGTACAAAAGGGAGCGCCACCGGAAACGTTATTCAGTTGTAACACGTCGGGTTGGATGACAATTGCCGATTTTTCAGCATGGTTCGAACACTTCTTGGCACATACAAGGCCTACAAAGGAGAGCCCGGTACTGCTTCTACTGGACGGACATGCTTCGCATACAAAAAATCTAGATTTTCTGGATAATGCCAAGCGTTCTTATGTTACGGTGATTTCCCTACCTCCACACTGTAGTCACAAACTGCAGCCTCTTGATGTCAGCTTCATGGGGCCTCTTAAAACTAACTTGTCGCAAGTTATTGAGGCATACTTAAAGAAGAATCCTGGCAAGGTCATCACACTGAATGAAATAAGTGCACTTTTCGGAAAAGCTTATCTTCGCTCTTTGACAGCCTCTGTTGCAGTAAATGGATTCCGCAAAACTGGCATCGTACCATTCAACAGGTCAGTATTCACCGATGATGACTTTGTGTCAGCGGATGTATCGGACATACCCTTCGCATCAGCGGATGTATCGGACATACCCTCAAATAACGAAACTGAAAAAGCATCGAGAAACGATAACCAGTCAGACGACGAAGATGAACCGCCATTTCTAGGTTTCGTCGACGTAGGCCGTGTTTTTGCAAACAACGCAGCTGTTTAGGAGAGAAGAGATGTTTCAACCAAATCTTTGAATCGGTTAAACAAATCGTTTTCCATAGGGCCATTAGAAATCCGGCCTTTACCTAAAATCGCGCTGAAGGAACGAAAGAGAGGAAGAAAGAAAGAAAAATCTGCTGAATTGACATCTAGACCACATCGAAACGCGCTGAAGTTAATGCAAGCTACCAAGGAAATAAACCAACTGAAGCAACAGAAAAAGTATGTGGAAAGCATCCTCAAGGCAAACCTATAACACGAAGAAGACATAAGGAGAACAGGGATGTACGGGACATACTATGCGAGAGTTGCGGCATCTGTTTCAGCTCATCAGGAGATGGAAATGGTTGGGAGAAATGCATCAAATGCCACATGTGGTTCCACAAGTCTTGTGCAAAGACTTGTATTAGTTGTTCTTCGTAATAACTATGAGTTAATTGTTTGTTAACTCATGTTAAGCAGAATTATTATCGCTTTTGTTCTTTGATTAGCGAACTGGTTACTAAATGTCATCAAAATGTTGATTGAATAAAACCATTTGTATTGATATGCACAGTTCAATGATTTAGCTATACCACAAAAACATCTATGGAGTAATTTCGTTTATTAAAAAAAATCTCTAGTACATAATATCAACTGCTCATATTACCCCGATAGGGTGCTCATATTACCCCAACAGTATTTGGCAGGCTACAAATCCAACATTTTTTAATGCTAGTAAAAATGTATCAAAATGTTATTTTAAAAAGCTTTTGCTAATGGGACATAAACTCTAACACTGTAAATCAATGATTTCTTTGAAAACGATATTTTATTTGCTGCTTTACGTTATGTTATGAAGCATTTTTCTTAAGGTGGCCAAACTGCCCCACTTTCCCCTGTGAATGCGATAAGGCCCTCGATACTTCGGAATGAACTTTCTGTTCGTTCCTATTGTAGTATCAACGTTGCGTATTACAGCATACTCCCCTTCGGTGAAAGTATTTGGCAATGTATGTCTTTTGACGAATGAAGCGGAATTCTTACTCTGAGAGTCTTCGATATGACGTGAAGCTACTTCTCGTAATGTATTTAAATCACGATCTACCTCTGAATTGAGCCTATCATCCAGATATTCGAACATACTGTCGACCTCTCTCCCTCTTTGACCAACTCCAAACAAGAGGACAGATGGAGTTAGTTGTGTACTCGAATGAATATAGTTACTGATAGCGTACTCTACCTTAGTTAACATTTTAAACCAGATTTGCATGTTGAACTGGTTCAGAAAGTTTTCCCAACATGGACTTGATCACACGGTTAACACATTCCACTTGTCCATTCGCTTGAGCAGACGCGGTAGCTACCTTTACATGTTCTACATTGTTTTCCAATAAGTAAGTGCCAAATTCCAATGAGGTAAAACACGTACCTCGGTCAATAGCATTAAAAATACTTATCTAAACATGCACACACTTCTTTCGTACTCGTGGAATTGATAGCATACAACTTAACATACTTTGTAAAAGCGTCAATGACAACCAAAATGTGTTTCCTCTTAGAAACAATCGACGGAAGGGGCCCAAAGTGGTCTACATGAATAGTATCAAACGGAACAGGTTTCTTCGGAATACTGTGCAGAGCACGGCCACCATCGGAATTTGAATCGGAATACATAATACAGCGGACACAATTCTTAATATGATTTTAAACCTTGTCTTTCATTTTCTGAAACCAGTAATGCATTTTCAAATGATCTAGAGTCTTCGTAATACCCATATGACACAGCTTCTCATAAACTTAGCGGATAATATGACTTTCCATTTCAGCGGAAACATAAAACAAAAGATTTCCATCGAAGGAAGAGTGATAGACCAGTCCATCATCCAAAGCAAAATTTTTAACAAATCCGGTTTCCAGTTCTTTTCTTAACTTAAGAATCAATGAGTCGCGTCCTTTCGCCAATTGTAATTGAAAGTCAACATCATCTGGACTGATACGACTTAATGCATCAACATGATTCATAAATTTAACGTTACGATGCTGAATGCTGTAATTATAATTCTCTAGTTCCAATGCCCACCTCGCAATTTTAGCATTAATACTCTTCTTATTTAGCGTCATAGCAAGGGAATTACAATCTGTAATAATACGGAATGGAAAACCCTCTAGGTAAATTCGGAACTTACGTAAGGAATAAATTATAGCCAACGTTTCCAACTCGAAACTGTGGTACCGAGACTCTGTAGAAGTAGTCCGTTTGGAAAAATATGCAACCGGATGCATCTTACCATCATCTTGTTTTTGCAATAGTATTCCGCCAAAACCATCGGAATTGGCATCGCAATGCAACTCGGGCCAAACAGGAGCAGAAATCAACTTATCACGTAACGTAACAAACGCTTTAATGCATTTTTCATCAAATTCAAATTTGGCACCGGTTATACCAAATTACGTAATGGGAGCGATATAGATGAAAAGGACGGAACAAATCGACGGAAATACGAAAAAAGTCCAAGACACTTATTGACCTGTTTAATATCTGTCGGAATTGGCATGCTCTTAACAGGGCTCATAGCAGGTCACTTTTTAGTGACTTGGTCATTTTTTTTCAAGTCAGTCATCAAAAAGTCACTAAAGTCACTATTCCTTAAAATTTAGTCACTTTTGTACGACCAATGTTGGGAGTAAAGAATTTGACTTTAAAAACTCATAGTAAAGCCTGACAAGTAGAGGCGCGAATAACGGCGCCGGTGGTGTAGTGGTAAGCGTGATTACCTCTCACCCCAGCAGGCCTGGGTTCAATCCCAGTCGGCGCCGCCGGGATGTTCTGAGGCGTAACATCTCTGATCACGCCTTCCTTCGGATGGGAAGTAAAGCCGTTGGTCCCCGGTTCATGAGTTGATGGGTCGATAGGTAGGGTCCAGGTGTGGGAGCTGCCTCCCTGGCACGTCGGTAGCATTGGTGCTCAGCACGGAAAACAAGATCGACGGAAAAAACAAAACCAAAGGAAAAAAAAGTAGAGGTGCGAATATATGGAAACGTTAACTGTTGACGGAATCTAATATTTTGATTTTTCTATCTTGAAATTGTCATAGACCTATCATAAATTTTCAGAGATTTCGAAAAAAGTTTTAGACTAAATATTCTGGCTATTTTACATTGATATCTTGAAAGTTGTCCAAGCCTACACTGCAACAAAAAAATACGTAAAATAATAGGCACGTTGATATTTTCCATCATACTTTCCAGGTGAATATTACGTGTTTTGGGGGAGAATTCATTTTCATGTAAATTTTATTGGACTCTCCGATGATCTTCATATTGGCATCATCTAAAAGTTACGGGAATTAGCAAGTAAATATTACTGGATTTTGTAGTGATGATAAAGTGAATTGGTGATAGACTATAGATATATATTTCGATTAAAGTGAGTCATTAAATGATTGCATTCTAGGAAAAATAACTAATTTACATTATTTAATAATTGGCACTGATGATCTCGAAGTTGAAGTGCATTAACCATATAGTAGCAACCTTATAGTAAGTCAATTGTTGATTGTTAGCACCTCAAAAAATCCATTCCCGTATTCTGCAATTTCATTTTGAATTTATATATGAGTAGTAATTTACAAAAATGATCAAACTTATGCTTGAAAACATGAAGAACCCTGGGAATTCCAACTCGCCATTTTTGAATTACGAATACGATGAGAAAATGTTCATACCATGAAATCACGAAAAACTTACGTGAATTTCACTTAACCTTCACCAGCATGAAATGTGGACTGGACCAATCAATCCAGTGGAATTCATTACCATGTCATTGAATTTTGTGTGTGGCACGTTAACCTTATTGGATTCCTATTTTGAAGAGGTTACTTGAATTTTCAGGTCAAAATTACCTTTCTCGTTGGTTCAATGTATAATGTCAAAAAATGGTCTAGGAAAATTTACAAGCTCTCGTCATTTGTTCAAAGGCCAGAAAATTGAATAATCTTTGACCCCCGGTAGCTTAAGTATTTGTCCAAACATCGAAAAAAAAAATCATGCTACAGATTCTTGAGTTCCTTTAAAGTCCATTAAATTGTATTGTATTTTGTGCATACTAACATTCCAGTAATACAAAAACAAAAATTCCAGGTCCAGGTCTTAGAAAAAAAAATTAAAAACTCTCTAATCTCTATTTTTTCACGATCGAAATTTTAAGCCTTAGACGCATTCAACTTTATTTTGTGTCCGTGATCATTCCATCTGGGAAAATTTTCCTCGTGCCATAATAATGAGATTTTTTTCTTAAACTGCGATCTAGAAAAGTTGTCTAGATAACAGAGTTATAATTCTTCTTCTATGTTTTACAGAAGATTCTATTCTTGGTAGGAATGGAGCAAAGTAAAAAGGCGACCAGTTCGTTATAACGACTACAAAGAAGAAAATGATATTTTATTAATATACATAGCAAAAAATTAATTTTAATATTACATCCAAGAGGATGCACTTCAATCATGTCGAAAATCTCATGTAATTTTTGTGGCCACACAAATAAACAAATGCAGTTAAAGCAGCGTAAGGTCAGTTCATGCACTGTATTAATGATAATTTTATCCTTTTTGGCAAGTAATATTACACCATATCTTCGACACGATTGAAGTGCATCCACTTTGATGTAATATTAAAATTAATTTTATGCTGTGTACTCATGGCTAACTTAGATCTATGTACATTTAATTCTAGACTGCAATTCTTCATGTTGCTAAATGTATAGCTTCATCTATATCCTAGATCTTCAAAAATTGCTGTCCTAAAATTGTAAAAAAATTGTCTAAAATCGGTACTTTGAACATTTTTCTCTGTGCCTCAATTTCTAGATCTATTAACAAATTCATGATCTGCAGATTGAGGAAATGGAGGTTAGAATTAGAACGAGCTCTTGCTTGTTCAATTCATACTTATTTTTCGATAGCAAATTTATGTGATCCTTAAATCATTTTTTTTATTTTAAAAAAATCATGAAAAATACCGGAATAACTGACGACAGGAACCGTATCTTTTCGATCAATAAATGTCACTATTAGTCACTTTTCTATTGTTTACAGGTCACTATTTGGTCACTATTTTCGTAATTTTAGTCACTAAAGTCACTACTATTACATCACATACCCACTACCAGCCCTGTCTTAATGGCTTCCAAATGCGAATTGTTTGGTCTTATCCCCTTATCACTAACTGGAAAACCGTAAAACAAAACTGACATTTCTTAATTTTGATTTCTAATCGAAATTCGGCTAATCTCCGGAGAACACGCCCTAGTAATACGAAGTGTTCAGAAATTGTATTGGTTGCCCGCGTCACCTTATCCATATAAACTACGACAGAACCTTCCTTGATGAACGGATCCAACACCATATTTATGAAACGTTGGAAAACCGCTGGTGCACTGCGTAACCCAAACTGCATTTTGAGGTACTCATACTGTCCACTAGGTGTTACAAATGCAGTGTACGGAATAGAATCAGGGTCCATATTCACTTGATGGAAACCATTTTTCAAGTCTAGTACCGAGAAATAGTTTTCCTTTCAACTCATCTTCAACTTAGTCATCAATTAGCGGAATTGGATAGCTGTCACGTACAGTTATTTTGTTTAGCGAACGATAATCAACACACATTCTTCGTTTACCGGATTTTTTGGTCCTTAAAACAATCGGAAACGAATACGGAGAATTGCTGGGCCGGATGATACCAGCTGCCAATAATTCATCAACAATGCGATCTACCTCCACCTTATCGGAATAGGACAGGCGTCTTGGGCTATAACTGATGGGATTGTAAGACGTCAATCTTAACCTCATTGCATATGAATGTTCTTTTTCCGGGATTCTAGTAGTGTCCAGGTAATTTTCTTTAATAACAGTCAACAACTGTCGTTTGTGATTGGGTTCCAATTTTGGATTGATAGGAAACTCATTATCTAACTTAATGGCATAAATATCTGGAATGAAGGAATCTCCACCAGGGACATTAAACTGGTCATTACAAAAATAAGACGAACATAAGGGGCAACAGTTGAGAACTCTAGCTCTTCCTTCTTGAAATAAATCATACATACAATGGGGCTTATTATGTGATGTGAATAGAACCCACAATCAGTGCAAGGATTACCTATGACTGCAGATACTTCACTGGTTGTAAAGTTCTGCCTGATGGTTTGTTGCAGCAGGTTGAATCAACTTCATTGAAGACCTTTGGAAGACAAACGACAAGATGTACGTCTATCAACACGTGACAAGGGACTGGCAAATCCACGAAACCTTGTCCAGTCTACAAATCCTTTGAAACCCTTAGGCTGTCCCCCCAAACCCAGCATATAATATTGCCAGTTTGATTAATGAAATGTATTCAAAAAAGGGTTATTTAGAGAGAACTCACCAAATCAATATATCCGGGAGCGCATTCCCGATGCTTAATTTTCTCTAGTCATTTTAAAACAATTCCTCCTCCAGCGAATCCAACCACACAATGCTGAAATTTTGATTTCATTGTTGTTCTTTACCTCAATTTTATACTGGCTTGATCGTGTATTGAATAGGATAATACCAAAAGCCTTCAAAAATTCACGTCCCAGCAAAACGGATGGATCATGAAATGATCTGGAACAACATAAAACTTCAACTTCTCGGAATGAGTACCATAAGCGACACGAGCAGGGATGACAGAGTAAGCACAAAGCGGAAAATTCCCAATACTTCGGAATCCGGAAAACTCCTCATTGGGAGGAATTAATTCACTGGGTACTGCGGATCGCTTAACAAGATTGATCGGACTGCCCGTATCGAAAGGAGAAAGAAAATTTCTTAGTGGATGCACTTTCCTCCCAGATAGAAAAGCAACACTGACCAAATTCAGCTCGGAAAGAGCTGCACTCAATTGGGTGTTGGGGTTATCGACCGGTTTGGCTCCGCGGAAGTCGTCCACTAGAGCCACTTCATCCTTGTTGCGTGGCCACGGTTTGAGACAGTTCTTGATGATGTGTTCTCTAGAACCACAACGGAAGCAGGATCCTGGCTCTCGGCGCGGCTCTGAACAGTGAGCAGAAACGTGTCCTTTGCCGGAACCATTGTAGCATCGTAATTCGGAATCGGAACCACCCTTATCCTTCGGTTTGTTGCGTGCACGAACGGAACTGGTACGGAGCTGCACATATTGTCGGGCTAATTGTTTCAGTTGCATCATGTCCTTGGTCGGATAGAGCACGGAAATATCGGCGGAACGATCACATAATCTATCGACGATCATCTGTACGGTCTGGGCCTCCTCAATGTCTGCACGTGAGGCAATCTCTTGTATCTTGAGGATGTATCCCATCACCGAGGTCTTGCTGCTGATGTACGTGGTTTTCTTGAGCTTGTCGACGATTTCTGCCACCGTGAATGGGTGACTGAAATTTTGTAGAAAATTTGCACGAAATTCGGCGTAAGTGACAGACCGGTCCACACGCAAGAACCATTGTGCCTCTGTGCCCGGCTAAATTAGTCTGCGGATGCATTTCAGTCGGAAATCCGCATCTCCTCGAACTGAATCACAAGCCCGTTCAAAATCATTCAGCCTACTCTGTGGAACGTAGGAGTAGCTGCCAGCAAACAGTGGAACCAGGCATTTTACATTCTGGAAAGCTGGTGGTCCGGCATACAGAAATACGTTGCCAGCCAGCTCCCGACGCCGGATTTCTTCATCCAGTGCCTCTTCCGCGTTGTCCTTCTCCTTGTTGCCCTCTTATTCATTGTACTCCTCCTCGTTTGCAGCGCGATTATCCGGATGGTTGTCATACAAAGCTCGCAGGTGTCGAATGGTTGCTGAAGCCGGAACCTCAGCTCTTGCCTGTTCATCCGGTTTTCCATACTCACTTCCCCAGGAATCACCGAAAATTCTTCTAAACAGATCGAATCCCACTTCTGAAGTTGTGGAGTCGGTCTAACAATTAAAACACGCGGTTCAATTTTCTTTAACTTTATATTTTTCGGCCGAACGTGGTTGAGGGTTGAGAGACATTTTTTTTTTTTCCTTTGGTTTGTTTTTTCCGTCGATCTTGTTTTCCGTGCTGAGCACCAATGCTACCGACGTGCCAGGAAGGCAGCTCCCACACCTGGACCCTACCTATCGACCCATCAATTCATGAACCGGGGACCAACGGCTTTACTTCCCATCCGAAGGAAGGCGTGATCAGAGATGTTATGCCTCAGAACATCCCGGCGGCGCCGACTGGGATTGAACCCAGGCCTGCTGGAGTGAGAGGTAATCACGCTTACCACTACACCACCGGCGCCGTTGGTTGAGAGACAATTGATTTTCGTTTTTTTTGGCTGCCTCACGCTCGTACCTAATTTTAAATTCATACTTCACACACACAACCATATATCAGTCGCGTTCACACTCACATTCGCTCGATGCAACAGTGCTGCCAGCGGACCACACTCAAGGTCGGCGCACAATGCATACGTTTTCGGGTTTTTTTTGACAGATAATGCATGGGCTAACTGTCACAAAAACCTGAAAACGTATCTATTGTGCGCCGACCTTCAGAATTCTACAATCGTTTTTTGTGTGGATGTTACATCAAAGAGCTTACTAGTAAGAAAATTTTAAAAAATCTAAAAGTTCTTGTTCTACGATTTTTGTCAATTTTCAAGTGTCTATGATTTTAAATATTTCCAAAGGTTTGCATTTTTCATGAGCTTTTTTTTTTTAATTATAAATATTGAAGATATACTTTTGGAGAAAATACTTTCGCAGAAAGACTTTATTTTTACCAGGAAATTCGTGAGCCCCATGAAACAAAAATTGAAAACACTAGTATCTACTGAAGAATTTACGGGTGGCAGGATTTCGTTACTGTATAAATAATAATAATAATAAAAACAAATTGATTAAAACCATTCAACTTCCGAATTTATATATTTTAGGACTTTGGAGACATGATTCCCGGACACGGAGGTATTATGGACCGTTTCGATTGCCAGTTCCTGATGGCAACGTTCGTTAATGTGTACATCTCTAGTTTCATCCGCTCGGCGTCACCCCAGAAGCTCTTGAATATGGTAATATAAATGCTACCGTATTAGATTTCCGACCACCAGACTAACCTCCGTTTGCGTTGACAGGTTTACAGCCTCAAGCCGGAACAGCAGCTGCAGTTGTTCAACCAACTGAAGGACAGTCTCGAGGAACGAAACATCATCAATCAGTTGAATTAGATCTCCACTTCGCTTCGACGATGACGGGGGTAAATTTTGGAGAAAGTAATCGTACTGAATACGCAATATCTTACATGGATGTTCTACATAATTACATTCACATGCATGCTAAGTTTCCCACATAAAAAAAAAAACAATCAGATTTAGGAAACACCACTGGATTATACGTATCGCTTAGGAGATGTTTGAAATTTTACCGAACAATCTGTTGTCGTTTTGATTAAATACATATTTTACACCAACTTCATACTGTTTAACTCGGACAACACAAAACCATCATCGGGAGATTAAAAAAAAAAACTAGTCTAAGATGCTATGCATGCAGAAAATTTGACAAAAAGGACCTAAAAGAGATGTTTAACCCGTCGTTGCTATCTGCAGTAAGATTTTATGATAATCTCTATATTTAACGTCAGTGCGCTGATGATAGATTGTCGACCCTCGCCGCTATCGGAAGCAGCCGTAGCGTATTGTTATCGTAATGTAATCAGTAATATTATTAACATTTATTGTTTGCAAAGTTTGCAGTGAAGATGGAACATCCTAGCAAATATGACTATAGAGCAGATTTCTGAGTCAGACCGTGTGGTGTTTTATTTTAAAATCGCGACGTCGCTGTTCACGAGAGCAAGAAATGCAACGTGTGTAGGATGTGCGCAGTTCTCTTCTACATTCCGAAGTCTGCCAAAGCGTAGAAAAAGGCCCTTTGCTTATTTGATTTTGATAGGTAGTTTGATTTTTGCACTGCTACCTAAATCAGCGATCGAGCAGGAATGTAGCGCAAAGTTAGTGCAATTCAGTGTCCCCCTATCATATGTTCTGTTACCTTTGTTCCGTTGCGTTTCGTTAAGTAACTGTGTAGGAGTATTTCCTGACCGTAACCTTCTTCGGTTGGGTATGTTAGAGCTTTATTATTTGTCGCACTGTACAATAGGTGGTTCTAGGTTATTATTAGATATTCTACGTTATTAGTTGCATATGTTATCGGTGTTTTCCGTTTTTAGTGTGTAGTTCTATGATAATGATATATGTGATCCTTGCTGTCCCCTTTCCTCCTGGAACTTTAATCCAACATCAACATCTTCCTATTCATCCGAAGAATCACATGAGCGAACATATTCATACAGGAATTATTTATGAACAAACAGAATGATATATAACCAAAATTGTCAGCAAATTGTACGAGAATATAATGCAAAGAATTTTAGTAAATGTAAACGTAAAGCAAGTATTTATGTGCAAAATCCTGAATGCGTGAATGATATCTAGAAGTAATGTTGTACCAACAAAGATTCTCGAAAAAAGTAATATAAATTCGCAAATTTCAATGTATCACATATGGACATATATACAAATCTAATAAGAACACATTATATTATGGAAAGTGCAGCTACACGACTACACTGTTGTCTGTCTTCTCCTTTTGGGTGGAAGGCGGGCAATATAAAGAGAGTGTGGAACAATCCAAAAGTAGCAGAATCGAGTCGATGTAAAGGTAGAAGGATCTTTTTCTAAGCAGATTATGTGAACCCAAAATTGTGTAATGTTGGTTATATTACAGATGGATTGAAATGATTGGCGAAACGACAAAGAAGTGCAACGATAGATTTAATAAATAGAATTCCCTACATGTAACTGTGTACGATACCGGCTTGTCAATTAATCAATTATTGAAATGGTTCACCGATGACGTCCAAAATTTACTCATTCCCTCTTGCCCAGCAACATCCGGGTATAATTTTGCTTCACTCCATATTGGTTAAGCGAATCGGATAGGGATTATTGCAACAGGTGCTTAGCTTGAAAAAAAACCAAGCAATCAAGTGAGCGATCCTGTAGAAACCGGATTTTGTTTGGGTGCTGGAAATTATAGTCTGAGGTCAGTGTACAGAGGAACGGCAAATCACTATCGCATAGAATGAGGAGTCTAAAGGCGAACATAGATGGTTCAAGTGGGTTGATTCAATTCACCCCCGATGCACGTTGTCCGCTTCAAATCGACAATTTATTTTTGGCGTTTAATTTGCAGTTCACGTGCGTTGGACGCAAAATTGAATAGTTTAAAATAAGCTTGATCATGGTGGCAAGAATGTTAGATTAATTTTTGAACAGGTCCTATATTCATTTGTCGATCAATCAATCGATTAAATTGATTTGCTTTCAACCGCGACCAGCGCAGAATTTGGGTTGATTTGTTTTTTTTTTTGCTTTATTTATAGTATGTGTAGTTGGTGGGCGTTGGCCAAATTTGGATTTTTCAGATATAATCCTAAATAGGACCTAGATTATTTAATACTTTAGTAACCTCAAGTCCGTGCTCTGTCACAATGTTTCATTGTGATTAATCAACACTCAAAGGGGAAATATAAAATTTGGGGTAAATTTGAAAGAAAGGGAACTTGGAGTGTAGAGCGCACTGCCCACTGGACGATTCTGAAGCCTGGCCAAGTGAATGGGGTATGGGTTTATTTGATTGAACGTCATTTCCAATATATATATTGATACATTCAATTTACATTGGCATTTGAGATAAGACAGAGATAGGATGCGGAGGGCCCGCTTAGGAGGAGCGTAACCCATGTTACGGTTTCCATTTATTAAATAGTTCAGATAGGCTAATGACAGGTTTATAGTGAGAGAATGTACCATATTGGGAAAGCATAATTTGCATAGGGTTCAGAGTGGCTGAGCTGTTCCTTTGTAGTTTGACCTTCCTTCAAAACCAATTTGGCTCTAGAACAATTTTAAACTTGTTCTGAATTATTCACATGTTGCAATTATTGAAAAGAGCTCGATATAAGATAGCCACAGAGAACAGACGTTGAGGCTCCAAAATGTCTCTAAATACTTGTGTAAAGATTCCTATTCGACTTAAGCGCCACTAACGACGACTTCCCCACTTAATAACCCTCTTTGACAACATGATGGCGCTGGCGTTGCAAAACTTACACTAGACACTAAGTGCTAGTAGCGCCAGTGGCAATTTTTAGCAGGTAATTTATCGGTACTAGCGCCAAATTGGTCGAAAGTGATAAATTCATAGAGGAAATCAGGAGATGCTAGCGCTACGTAACGGCAACGTTTCCACTTAACTTTACACAAGTTTCTGACCGAACTTGGACGTCTGGTCTCTGTGAGATAGCTTAATACAATTAAATAGAAATGCCAAAATCTTACCGAGTAGTTTAGCTGTTCTGATTTCGGTACAGTTTGTTGAGGTCGGGTATAGTTTCTGAGTATGGATGCCCATTTTGAAATAACTTTTATTAGCACAGAGTAATAGTTTTATTGCCAGGGAACTATCTTTTGGGATCGTCTTTTCTTCGTACAATTCTCATTATTCATACTATACTAATCATGTTCAGTCTTAGAAAATGTTATATGTAAGCCCCGTTCTAGATTTGTTTGTTATTCATATCTTATGCATTGCAGCTCGCGAGAGGTTACCAAATATGGGTTCTTTTTCTCATCCACAATAGTTTGGGGGGAGGGGGCGATCTGAGAGCTGAATAGAGGCAAATAAAATAGGGAACACAACACCATGACCCAAACGACTAACCAACGCATGCAACTCACACTTAACTTGTTCTATTTCTTTCTTCCCCTCATGTACCAATATTACCTACCTGAGAACAAATGGGAACACGGCCAGAATTTCAATAGGAAGAAGGAAAAAGCGAGAAAACGTAAGAGAGTAAGCAGTCAGAAAGGATTAGGCCATTTGGAAAGAGCCAATTTATACTGGATGGAACTGGTAAGTATGATAAGAATTGTAAAAGGTGTGTGCTTGCATGATTTACCTATTTTAGAATTACCTATAAGCCACATGAGAATATCATTTCCTTCAATTACTACTCCATTGCAGCACACACCTAATAATGATCACTAACATTCATATAGTTTTAGCATTATCGACATTTATAATCAAAAGGTGAGTTGTAAAGTATAATTACCATGCATATATATATAAGTTAATGTACCAGAACCTGGACGGACACGAGCCTACCCAGGGGAGGACCCGGATACGACCACCCATGTGTGTCTAGAGTATCGCACGAGCTGACGAGTGCAACGGGAAGGACAGTAGGTGTATAGACTAGGGGGTTAGTCCCTAGATAAGCCAACTTAGCGGTTGGCACAGCCTATACACTGAACAATTACAATTACAATTTATTTATAGTATGTGTAGTTAAAAGTTTTTACAGTTATCAGCTACAGATAAGGCGACTCTAAATCGTCAGTTGACTGTCACAGATTTCCTAATACTTTTTTTTTCTTTATTAGAGTGACTTTCAACCACTGGTTGGTTCGTCACTTAAAAAGGGATAGAGGGCTTCAGAGAGCGGCCCCTGATGTTTAAAGGGTACAATTGTGTTAGACAGAGCTATAATAACAGAGTTGGTTTTGTTGGCTGATATTCAGATAACTTGCGGTGTGTCTAGTAGTTGGTCCTTGTCATAATCCATTGTCGTCGCTTGGTCTTGTGTCCGGTTATTGTGGTCATTTTGTTTTATGTGTTGTAGTTTTCCGTGTTCAGTTCCATTGTTGTCGCTGTGCGTAATTTTGTGCCATCATCCGTCCATTTTCGTGTCCTTATTCGTGCATCATCCTAATATAGTCGCTCGTCCGTTTTTGAGTCAGTGGTTGTTGCCAAGAGTAGTTCAATCCTTTGTCCGTTGTCGTTGCTTGGGTCAATATTGGGTCATTTATCAAATTTGGTTGATCAATCCTGTCTCCCGCAGAAAGGAGAAGAGCGCTGTGGTGCTAGAGGGTCATAACACAGGGTGTCCCTGACGCTTGCTGAGATCCCGTATTGGATGCGTGGTCCGCAGTACTGGGGGCAGTTGCAAAGGAAATGTTCCACTGCATGTGGCACATTGCATGTCTCGCATTGCTTCCTAAATGGACCTCCGCCTACCATGTTGTGAGAGGCTTTGGTATGACCGGTTCTCAGCCGCGATAGAATTACTTGAGATCGGTGTTCAGGCGGATCATCCCATCTTCTGGTGTCCCGCTTAAATTTCCGCATAAAAAGATCTTGAGATCGCAGCCATTCATTTGTCCAGCAATTCCATACTATAGTCACGATCCACCACTTGATATCTTGAGCAGGGACCTTTTGGGTATAGAGGTTTTCCTGTCTTCCTCGGTTCCTCTGATCCCGCAGTGTCCTAGGATCCAGATGAAAGTTGTTCCTTTATGAGCGAGCTTCAGGATAGCCTGGATCCAAGGGTGCTTGGCTGTATCGGACTGAAGAGCTGTTAATACGCTGGCCGAATCAGAAAATATGGCGACAGGTTTGTTTTGGTAGGCGAGGCGGCGGCTACTAGTATGGTGGCAGCTTCAGCAGAGAAAACGGTCCGGAAGTCGATAGAAGGTGCGTAACTCCGGATCGGATATCCCAATACCTACCCTTCCGCCAGTTCGAGATCCGTCAGTGTATCTTGCTAGGTGATTAGGGTACTTAGTTCGTTGTAGTTCGGCCACCGATCTCACTAGTGCGGGGGAGTTGGTTTCCGCCCGGAATCTGTTCTTTATCGCCAAGCCGATAGAAAGTCCGGGTGAGTTCCAACTTCTGGCTCTACACCAGTGGACCCTGGCTACCGGGGGGAGTTCCAGGTCGGCGGCGTCCTTCAGAAGTTTGTTCGTCTCCATAAGGAGGGACACTTCATCACTTGTTCCAGTTGTCTTCTCTGCGAAGCCAACTGCCCTCTTGCAAACGGTAGCAACTATAAATTTGTCAAAGGGTAACCTTCCGCTCTCCAGACAAGCTGCAAGCCTGGGGTGGAGGGGAGGAGACCTGATGTGATTCTAACGGCCTGATAATATACTGGGGACAGTTGGGAAATCATCCTGTCGGCAGCTAGGCAAGTCAGTTCTATACCGTATGTTAATCTTGAATCGACTACCGCTTTAGCCACGCGCATCCGGACAGCACGGTTGTTCGCTAGATGCCTCCTGGTTAATGTCCGCAGCAAGCCGATTCTTGTTTGGCAATTACCTTTCACTTCGTTGAAATGGTCTCCAAAGTATAAATGCCGATCCAGGCGTATGCCGAGGACGCGGATAGACTTCTTAAACGGCATGTTCCTTCCGTCGACGCTGATAGGAGAGCGGAGCACGGATTGAACATTTCCTAATACTAATAATTGTTATACAATTGTTGTCGTAATCTTCTCTTAAACAATCGTACATTTAAATGCTTGATTTCTAATGGTAAAGCATTGTTATCAGCCATTCCATAGTTAAACAATATAGTGATTCTTAGAATTTCGTAAAAGTTTGTAGTTTTATTCCTTTTCGCAAAATATTAGACCCGAGTATTAATATTTCCATGTTAGGGTGGTCCAAAAACCAATTTTTTTTTTCAAATATGTCTTTTTTGAAAATTTTATAACTTTTGAGACACCCGGGCCATTTTAAAAATCAAACTATCAAATAAAAGGTATTTAAAAATGCTTTTTAGGAAAAATATAATGATATTAAAAATTTGGGATTTTGTGTAGAAAAACATATTGTGTAGAAAAAAAGTCAGCGATAAGTACCCGGAAAAAAATAACCATACAATTACCATAAAATAAAATACAGTTACAAGTAAATCTATTGCCAACAATCGATCTTATTGTGCGTATATAGTACACG